AGCTTGAGGGTGACGGTGACGTCGATGGGGTGGTTGACAACGCCCACCACGGAGCGCACCAGCGACATGAAGAGCAGCGGGAACCAGATGATGGCCACGAGGAAGAGGATGATGAGGCCCCCCATGCCATACTTCACGATCTTCTTCTTCTTCTGCCCCTTGGGCTGGGGGTACTTCTGGGGGGGGGCAGACAGTACGCCGTGCCAGGAGGGCTTGGGGGGACCCCAAGCAACAAGGGGCATGTTGGGAGGTCCTTCTTAGCACGGCAGGGCCATACCTTCTCTGTCTCACGGCTGCATTTGATGATGAAGACGTTGGCGTAGATGTCCTCCACGCACATCCAGTTGGAGAGGGACAGCGTGGTGTCCGTCCAGACCCAGTCCATGACGGCCCGCAGCTCCACCAGGAAAGGCACGAGGCGAAACCTGGGGGGGATGCAAGGAGAGGGGGCTGGCACGGCGCCCACTGGGCACCCGGGGGTCCGTGTGGCCCTGTGCCATACCCCTGGAAGAGGAAGAGGTTGAGGTGGTTGTATTTCTTGGTGAGAAAGTTGCCCAGGATGCGGGTGGGGTAGCCACAGCGGATCTGGTAGGCTGACAGCGCGAAGTAGATGCACTTCACAAAATACCACAGCTGGGCCACCGTGTTGAGGCTGAACAATCTGTGGGAGGGAGGTGTCATCCCCTCCGGCCACCTCCCCGGCCAGGCCAGGCCACCACGTGGGCTTGGGGACACAAAGGTGCCACCCTAGGACCACACTGTGCCCTTGGGGACATCCTCGGGGGATGCTCGGTACCTTTCGGTGACGGCCGGCAGGATGAAGAACATCCAGAGGTGGATGCTGAAGACCAGGATGACCTGGAAGATGAGCTTGCCCAGCACGGTCTTGCGGAGGTAGAGCGCACGGTCAATGACCATGGTGGTGAACTGGATGAGCAGCATGACCAAGAAGGCCTCCGGCACTTGGTCATCTGACAGCGAGGAGGTGATGTCGGCAGCCGCCGAGTGTTTCTGGGGATGCAGGAGAGCTCAGGATACAGCCCAGCCTGACCCCGCCGTGGGAGCTGGCCAGCTGGTGCCCTGCAGGACCCCCTCTGCTCACCCCGAAGGCCCAGAAGCCAAAGATGATGATGATGAAGTCAACCACATCGGCCAGGAACATGAAGGCGTAGACGTCGGTGGCTGCCCGGTGCTGGGTGTGCAGGATGTCCCGGAAGAACCCGCGCACCGGCTGGTACATGTTCTGCGCCCTGGAGGGCGCAGGGGACAAAGGGGATGGGTGAGCGGGGGGCTGCACCCCACAACCCCCAGCCCAACCAGCACCATGGGGCACTCACATGGTGAGGAAGAAGAGCTTGACTCGGAGCCCAAACGCCTTCAGTTTCTTCTGAGCGTGGCTCTGTTTTGCCTCTTCCTCCTCCACCTCCTCCTCCTCTTCCTCCTCCTCCCCATCTTCTATGAGTGAGGCACAGTGTGGGCGACAGCCCGGGGTCCTGTGGGGCTGTGTCCTGCCCCAGAAGACACCAGCCTTGCCCCTCACCAGGGCTTGAGGGATGGGAACCGTCACTCACCTTCCTCTGGAGCCGCCTCCAGCTGCTTCTTCCCCCCCCACCTCTTCCTCCTGAAGCGAAGCTGCATGGCCCCGGCTCCCTCTTCCTGCCCCACGGCATCGCCCTCCGGCTCTGGCTCCGGCCCCAAGGCTGCACCCGGCGCCCTTGGCTCTGCCAGCACCTCTGTCCCTTCCTCACCCGCTGGCACTGGCGGGGATGCTGCTTCCTCCCGCCTCTCCTCCTCTTCCTCATCCTCCACCTGCTCCACCTCTGCCTTCTTCTTGGGGAAGGGGTCTTCCTCGTGGTCCCACAGCCCGTAGGACTGTGAAGGGCCGCGGTCAGGGGGACAGGGTTCCTGATGCCCCACACCCCACACACCTCACCCCCCATCCCACAGCATCAGCTCCCCTTCCACCCCAGGGACCCAACCAGCCATGGGTG